TTATTTTTGCATCATATTTTAGGCTTACTTGTGAATATTTTTGAGATTTGTCATAAACTGGAAAAGTTCTTATTTTGAGCCCCTCTTCAACTTTTATTAAGGGCATTTTTCTTTTTGAGGTCATCTTCCCCTGTTTATGCTTCATTCCTTCATGATTAGGGCCATGCATTAGAGCACTTGCATTGGCCATGGTTTGGCCTCCTAGACACTGAAATCCAGTGGATTTTCAGTGGCTTTGATGTGTCTTTGAGCTCCAAAATCATAGAGGGGTGACCCTCTCACCCCTCATTCTCTTTACTAGCATTGTTGGCCTTCCAAAGGGACTCTATTTTGCATGCATTGAAGTCATGTTTCAGGTCTCATTTTGTGAGTTTTATGGTCTGCATAAGCTCTGTCCGGAGCCCATTTTGCCATATTTTATGTCTACAATGCATGTGTAGAGCAATCCCATCCAAGGCTCTTCAAAGGAGCCTTTCTTTGCATGTTTCCTAGACGATATGATTTGATATTTAAAAGTCTTGTTCGGACTTAGAGGATGTGTTTACCATATAGGCATGTGAATGGTGGTGTGTTTGGGAACATAAGTGGTAGGGTTTGATTTAGGAGTTTAGTATGAGTTCAAGGAATGTGTGAAATGGAGCTGGCAGACCCCAAAACTCTTGGTCATATGGTCAACTTCACCAATGTACCAGGTATCATCTGGTTGATTACTTCCCCAGTCCTCATCCGTGTGGACAAGACATAGATCACCGTCCTCCTACCACATTCCATCGGCAACCAACAGACACCTATCCGGCTCCGTTACCACTCTCCCTGTACTCACGGTACCTTCTGTCCATGTGTTCGCAGCACCCTCTGTTCTTGTGCACACAACACTCTCTGTTCCCATAGGGGCCTTGGCTTTTCTAGCTCTTTCAAAGTCTTCAATTCCTTCCCGTTCTAGCTGTGTCAATGCAGTCTGTTGTTCAACATCTCTTATATTCAAATTGCCCAGATCCCGAGTAAAATTCTCGACACCGGCGCTCTCTGGCGATGTATTCTGATCCCCGGGCCTTCCGGCCACAATTGATGTCCTTGCCCCTGACGGGCCCTTTTCCAGCTGAGATTCTTCAACAATATCTGGCTGGTCCTCAAGCCATCCTGTAGCCTCTGTTGACTCCT